TTCCTGAGTGATTTTTAGTTGTGGTTTGTGGTTATCATAAAGGACATGATGTGAAGGCTGAGAGTCTGGCAGCACTGCCGAGGTCTTCCTCATTATCACCCTTTTTGTTTGTTTTCTAAATAATTTCTGTCCTTGAAGACAACCTGAAGGTTTTTCTAAAATCCTAAAAGACTCTTATTAAACTGGAATAAAACATTAGAAAATATGGAGCATTAATAACACCTGCTAGCTAGTATCAATACATGTTAACAGCAGCATTAACATAGGCTAAATGAGCCTGTGTTAATTTACTCCTTACGGTTTAAGCCCAAACTCACGCTGACAGTTTTCTACGCCAGCATTTCTTTATCGTGTAGAAAAGCCGAGACACACTGGTTAAATTGCGCTTCTTTATCTTATATTAAGATATCTCAGAGATTAAATGTGTAGTTAAACTTGTACACAGTAACAGAAACTGGAGTCCAGCCCACATAAGCTCAGAGTGGGCTGTTTGTGGCCTGTGATGTAAAATTAGTTTGACATCCCCGCGATGAACTGTTTTATCACAGGGACGTCAAACTTTTACTCTGAATGCTCAGTTTCTGCTTTGAAACACACTTTTTTCAGTTTCTCTCTTTCATGCAGGAAGTGAGGATTTGTAAACAAGTTGGCATCTTGAAAGCAAACTAGGGGCAACCTGCCAGCATGCAAAGCAACCACAAGCAGGTTTTTGGTGCAGCATCCTCTGCACTTGATTTCACGCAGCAACTACTCACAAACCAAGTGCATGTTTCCAGGGGACTGCTGACTGGTCTTTAGTAATGATCTACTGTTAGACATTTTTTTTATATTGACTGTTTTATATTTTTAAGCGCTTTGACTTACAAAAGCAGCATTACGGTACTAAAATGATAATTATTATTATTAGTATCTGTTTGACTGCATGAGGACTGAGTAACCAAATGGCTCACAGGTACATTACTTATCTATATCATATGGTATTATGTGACCACGCTGCCTGGCAACCAACTATCAAAGGGCTAATATGACCCATGTTTAGCATTTCAGAACCTATATTACCTTTAAAAAAATGACATTGTTTTAATTCCATGATAATAAAACCTGATCCGCAGAAAGAGCAGAGCCTCCACTTTTATCCATCTTAAACTCACCTTTGTTTTAATATTTACATCATTTACAACAAAACAACAAGACCTTTGGCATTTTCAGCATTTTAGTAACAGGAATATGAGGTTTGGTTACATAACCTCACATTTATAAACTGTTATAATAAATTAGATTTATATATTTGATTTGCATTCATCAGCTGCTTAAAAAAAACATGTTTTTTGCTTTTCCTTTAAGGCACAAAGAGACCTGTTGCTTCTACTTTTATGTCTGATAATTATGGTGAAATTAATTCACGTATGCATCTTCTCAGTGCTTACATGAGTCGGTTAATGTCCATCACAAAGCACAAACTTTGGAGCCCTTGTGCAGCGTTACATTTCATATGTTCAGGGTGGAAGCTTTGCTGTGTCCTTCCCTGGACTCTTCCATAGATTTTTTTCCATATAATTTTGTCAGTGCAATTTCAAATGTTAAATTTAATAGAATCTGATCACTATACATTTATATGTTGTTTGGTTTTTTTAATCTTAACAAGCTGGTGTGATTACATGAATTTAAGACGATTACCTGGCAGAAGTTCAGGTTCAAACTGATTTTGATGGTTTACATTTCCTTAGCTTTAAAGTTCATATTTCTGGTTGTTTTTCTGTCATATTTCTCTGACTAAATAAAATTAACTTGGAAAATGTCTTGTAGTGTCTTGGCTGTAAAAACGGTCTGGGACTACTTTATATAAAAAGGTCACGGTGGGGCAAGTTCACTGCATTGGGGAAATCTCAGTTTCACCACTAGAGGGCAGAGGAGACCTTCTCAATCCACCACGGCTGGGTTAGAGTGGGTGATGCTGTGTGGACATCAGCTGCGTTTTAACCCCATGTGGTTTGGAGAGGCTCCAGCCTGTTGTCACTAGTTTCCAACAATAGACAGCCTGCGCTGCTGATAAGAACTTTTTAACCGGCACAGCCATTGTTGGAGGCTGCGTTTTGTTTTTTCCTCTGTCAGGAAAAAAAGGAGGCGATAAGCAGTACAAGTACACAGATCACAATGCCAGATGGATACAAAACAGGAGCGAGCACAAACAAACTGATCTAAACAGGTTATTTATTGTCTGCCTGAAAGTCAAAGAAAAAAAAAATTAAAAACCCAAAATTTATTTTTAAAGAAAACATTTTAAAAAACAGCACTTTTATATTTCAAATAAGTAAATATGATGAATCTGGTTTTCTGGACCTGAAGGTGAATGTGTAGCTGGGGTCACTGAGGCTGCTTTGCTTCGGGAACAGAGCCGTGTGATCCCGTTAAAGAACAAAGGTTCTGACACAGGAGCTTCACGTATGCCAGCTGCCCGTATGCTCAGCACGTGCTTCATCTTTAATAATCATGATATAGAGCACTCGTGCGTAAATATATTTCTCAAATATGACTCACACATGCTTTCTTAGAAATGCAAACATAAAATAAATCATCACAGCCTTCCTGTTGATTGAAGTCGCATATCATGGCCTATAAATGATGAGGTAGAGAAACAGCTTTCAACAAATGCCTGACAGCACACAGTTTTCACCACATGCAGAGTCGCCCTGAGCTTCCTGAGCTCAGGGACCTA